GAACAAGTTTGAGAACCACTGATTCCAGAAAGGGCCCATCACCCTGGCTGGCTGAGGTCAGAGGAGTCATGGATTTGAAGAGCCCTTTCTGTTTCCCTTGTTGAGGCAGGGTCAAAGCTGTCCATCTGCAAACAGGTCAGGTCAGTTTCTTCTTGATGTTGCAGTGCCATAAAATAAATCTGTTTGCATCTGTTCAAAAACCTTGTTTAAATTTTTTTTTCTTTTTGAGTCTGGGTCTTACTCTCTCCCAGGCTGGAGTGCCCTGGCACAATCACAGCTCTCAAACTCCTGGGCTCTGGTGTTCTCCTGCCTAAGTTTCCCAAGTAGCTGGGACTACAGGCACAAACCACCACGCCCAGCTATTTTATCTTATTTTTTTTGGAGAGAGAAGGTCTCGTGTGTCGCCTAGACTGGTCTCAAACTCCTGTGCTCTTCCCTCCCTGGCCTCCCAAACTGGTGGGCTTACAGGCATGAGCCACTGTGCCCAGCCAATTTTAAAAAATAATGCTTTTTTAAAAAGTAATGTAATAAAAACAGTAATGTAATAATGCAAGCTGTTTCAGAGCAAGACAGTTTATAGAAGTTGAAGGTTACTAAATGTTGCTAAGGCAGCTAGCCTGGTAATTATGGGCTCTATGCAAAGCACTTTAAACAAATTACCACCTCCCCCACCCCAAGCTCCAGCTGGAAATAGCTCAGGGGCACCGGAGGGACGGAGTCAGGGAACTGAAGAGAGCAGGGGAAAACAGTTGCTGGGATTTTATACTCACAGCAAAGGGTGGAAATAACCTCTGTAGTTATAATCAGACTCTTCTACCATGTAGGGGAGGAATGGAAGGAAGGAAGAAAATCTGGGAGAAAAAGCTTCCTCTTTGGCCTCCAGATTTCTCCACTAGTAAGTGAACAAGGAAGAAACTGAACAAATGAAAAGAAATAAAAAGAAACAAAAGCAGTGGAACCTGGGAAACCAGAATGAGCCCTGGATGCTGGAAAAAGGCGGGACTGGGGAGGAACACATTCTCGCAGTCAGAAAGCTGGGCTGGGCTCATCTCAAGGAGAAAGGATTGAGAACCCCCAGTTGTCCCTCAGACCCCCTTAGACAGTACATTTGACTCCAGTTACCCTGCATCCAGACACTGTTTTTTGATGTTTTTGTTGTAGCATTCTGATACATAGCCATATTGACAGGAGGTTGCCAACCTAAAGAAAGAAACTGAGGCAGAATTAATATAGAGAATGTATTTGGGCGAGATTGAGGACAGCTGCCTGGGACACACTTCCAGGCTACCTTGGGGAATGCTCCCTCCTGCCTTTGTGACAGAGTTTTTGTAAGGCAAAATGGGGACCAGGAGTAGGCTGATACAAAGTTGTTTGACAGGAATGCTCATTGGTTTACGGAAATAACATAGGTTAGTGATTGGCTATACATTCTTGAACTGTAGGGTGTGAGTTATGGTGTCTAGCGGATGGCATTTTATGACTGCTTGGCAGCATTCTGGAGACCACATAACCAATGGCTTCAAGAAGTAATTATTTAGCTCATGTAGGGAGTGAGACAAGACTATGGACACATGCTGTCACATTGCAGTGCTCCGTGGGCCTGATGATTAAAGGGGCCTCACCTTCCTCAGGTAGCATCCTTTTCTTTCTCAGCGTGGAGAAGTTGCCTTATACAGATCTCTGTGTTCCAGATGGCATTCCCTACTCACAACAGCTCAAACTCATGTGTCTCATGTTTTCTTGCTGCTACCCCAAGTCTAACATGCAAGTAATTCTTTCTGCCTTTCTCAGAAGTTGCCTGTGTCTTTTCGCCAGGGCTGCCGTAACAAACTACCACAACCTGGGCCGCTTAAGCAACAGAAATGTATTGTCTTGCAACTCTGGAGGATGAAGTTCAAGATGAAGGTGTCACAGGGTCTGTTCCTTCTGAGGGTTGAATCTGTCCCAAGTCTCTTCCTAGCTACTGGTGGTTTGTGGCAACCTTTAGTGTTCTTTGGCATGTAGAGACACCCCGAACTCTGTCTTCATCTTCTCATGGTGTTTTCCCAGTGTGCATCTGTCTCCATATCTGAATTTCTCCATTTTAAGGACATCAGTTAGCCTTCCCTGCTCCAGTATGATCTCATCTTAACTAATTATATCTGTAGTGACCTTAATGTTGGATAAGGTTACATCCTGAGATGCTAGGGGTTAGGACTTCAACATCTGAACTTTAAGGGGACGTCGTTCAGCTTATACACTCTAGATCTCAGTCTTTCACCAGCTCCGACCACTGCAGTCAAGTCCACACAGCTGGCATTTTATATGGACTAACCTTTACTGAGGGATTTTCACTCATGAGCTATTAATAGCCAGCCCCGTGTTCTTGTACTTGGCATTGCATAGCTCAGCTCACCCAGCCTGGCTGCCTTTACCACAGTCAGTTGTCTGCAGTGTGTGTATGTTTGGGGGGGAGGGAGACTGCAGCAGAGACGGTGGTGTAGGCAGGGTCATCGCTGTCTCTTTGAAGGTCTCTGCACAGTGCACATTTGTTGAATGGATGAAAACAAATGTGCAAATAAACAACAGTAGAAACAATAAACTTTGAGACAAAATTTCCACAGTTCAGCACCCCAAGTAGAGTATTTGTATGGTTAAGTAACATCTTCATTCTGGCTTTGTGTTTCAGCCAGCTTAGCTCATGTCTGAATGCATTTCTTACCTCACTGCAAAATCAGACAGGATTCTGACAGCTCTTCCTCTCTGCCTTCCTGGGTCACGTCAAACCTCCTTTAATCCACTTTTTGTCTCTGTACTTCTGATCCAAACAACAGGGACATCACAGCTGCCTCCTTCCTTCCATGACCCTTGCAGAAACTTATCCCATCTTCCCAGGCCTCTTCCTTCTTGCTGCCTCCGTGGCTCTGAGGGCCCCACCCCCTCTACACCTGGCACGCGTGCCCATCTGGCAGCTGGCCTTTTCAGTTGTTCACCTTTGCCCTTCCTGGAAATACTGGAAGCTTTCCTCCTGCACCTTCTTCCCCCCCCATCTCTCTGGAAATCATAGCTCCCTAGCCTCCTATCCCTTGAAGTCACTTACTTGTACCTCTTTCCCACTGGGATTCCCATTTATGTATTTCAATATCCTGGGTATCATTCCCAAGACTTCACTTAATCCAAAATTCCCATAATTCAAGACTAATCCTGACAAAGGATGGAAGGTTATTTCTTTTTACCATAGGTAATAAGTTGTCCGTCAAACTGTGGAGTGTCGTGGGGATTCTTCTTATTTCACACAAAGTAAGAATTCTCCTGCACTCTGGCTCCAGTCTGATTTCAAAACAGCACCATAGTTGTTAAGAATTTAAAATCCATCGTTACAAAGGAATGAAAACAATGGAACATCTATTGTTTGAGCACTTGTAAATACTCTGAAAAACACAAAGATTATTAGTTTCACCTGTAATCTGAACCTGTACCAATGAGGTCGAAAATAACTCAACATTGTATTTCATCTTTGCTGATAGGGTTTGTCAGGCTGCCTGACTAGTACATGAGGAAGACCTTTGTCTGTCTTCCCCTTGGCCTGTTTGGCATGTGTGTGTTCATTCAGCCCATGTGGGTTGAGTGCCTGCTGTGTGCCGGTCACTGGTAACAAATCCTGACCTTGGAAGGACTTCAAAAGCACCTCTGGGATGTCATCTTCCACCGTGCAGGGCTATTCCCGAAGTTGCCACCCTCCTCCCAAAAAATTAAATAAAAGGATTGGCATATGTGGAAAGCTACCTTTAAATTTTTTTATTGAAAGGGTGTATTAACATCTAGAAATTTTCTCTTAGTAAATAATTAAGAATATGTGTAAACATTTAGCTTCAAACCTATCCATCAAGCATTCTTTTAAAATATCAAAATGAGACTCCAACTCAAAAAAAATGTATATATCAAAATGATGAAAACAGCTGAAATGTGGAACAATAGGAGACTAAGTTGATAGTAAGTAAACCTATGAAAAGAAATTCAGTTCACTGAAAGTGTAACTGACCCAGGTCCCCGTGCTCACAACTTATAGCCAAACTCGAGATTTGAGGGTTGGCGAAAGGAAGGACAGGCTCATTCAAGAGCTGGTTACCCGAGGAGATGGCCAGACCAAAGTCTCAAATACTATCTCAAATTTGGGGTCAGTCAGAAAGGGCCTTTTAAAGGAAAGATTGGTGGGAAAACATGTGGGAGTGGGGTAGAGTATGGGGTCTGTGTGACCTTGATCCGACAGCTGTCTCAAGTAACTGTCCACCCAGGGTCTGACGCATCATCTTGGCTCAGACCAAGTGGTGAATCAATCATCCACGATCTGTGAATCCTTCAGGTGGGAGGGCTCCCCTGTCGAGGCTCAGGCCTAGTTTGTTCTAAGATTAGCTGCTAGAATTCTCGGGGTCCTGGTTGGTGTTATCCTAATTTTAGCTGGGTTGTAGATTAACTGCCTCAAGGATCTTCCTAAGCCAGGAGAATTTTGTAGCTGGGCCTTCATGCCTGGCTTGCTGTAAGATTAGCCCCTGGAATTTCCAAGAAAGCACAGACTTAGATAAGCATCCACAGTGCAAGGTAGTGCCTAGAGGGAGGAGGGGAGGAGGAAAATGTTTAAGGTGCAACTTTAAAGCTAGAGCTCAAGAAGAGTGTCTAGAAAACTAAAATTCTCGGTTACAAATGGAATTCAATGAATTAAAATGTAGAAGCATACCATGGGAAGATGTTCATGGTTTACAAAAGGGTATATATATAATATGATCTCATTTTTACCTTAAAACATAAAACCATAAAAGAACTTGGTGATGAGAACCCATGGTGTTAGCCGTGAGCCCCTCTTGGTAGAGGGGTGAGATTGTAGGCGATCTTCTATTTGCTTTTCCAATTTTTCTATAACGAACAAATATTACATTTAAAATTATTTTTAGCTTTTGCAATAAAGAGCATGTAAAGATATATTTTCCTAAATATTTCCATGTATATTTTTTGACCCTTTGCAGCTTACAGCGATTTAGGCTACTACATTATCAATAAACTGCACCATGTGGACGAGTCAGTGGGGAGTAAGACGAGAAGGGCCTTCCTGTATCTCGCGGCCTTTCCATTCATGGATGCAATGGTGAGTAGAGAAGACGGCTGGCTTTCATTTTCTAACAGGGGTAAAATATATATAGCATAGAATGTACCGGTTTAGCTCTTTTTGTGTGTCCCATTCAACAGCATGAGGTACAATCACACTGTCGTGCTATCAGACTTCAGAACACTTGTCGTCTTACATTAACTGGGAGACTCTATACTCATTAAACAACAGCTCTCCTTCCCCCTCCCCCAGCTCCTGGCTATCCCACCCCACTTTCTGACTTTACGAATATGACTACTTGAGATCCCTTCTAAGAGTGGAATCATACAGTATTTGTCCTTTTGTGACTGGCTTATTTCACTGAGTATAATGTCCTAGGAGTTCAACCATGTAGTAGCACATGTCAGAATTCCCTTTCTTTTTAAGTCTGAATAATTCTCCAGTGTGTGTGTAGACCATATTTGGCTTATCCATTCATCCATTGATGGACACTTCTATCGCTTCTATCTTTAGACTGTTGTGAATAATGCTGTGAACATGGTGTACAAATAGCTCTTTGAATCCTTGCTTTCGGGTCTTTGTGGTACGTACTCCCAAGAAGAATTGCTGCATCATATGGAAATGCAATTTTTAATGTTTTGAGGAATCAACAGACTGATTTTCATAGCAGCTGTACCACCAGCATTGCACAAAGGTTCCTATTGGCCATTGACTTTTAGCCTCCATCTTGTCTGTCTGTTTCATGACAGTTGTGTGTATTTGCCACAAGTTCTGGTGGGTGGCAAGAAAGCCCATTTGAAAATTTTCCTTTAAATATACAGTTCTTTTCTGGTACATTCAGGATCAAAGAATTGGAATACTTACCATTTATGTGGTATAAACACCCAAAGCTTTGGAGTAAGAATCGCTTGAACATACTGATGGGGTTGTTGTTGTTGTTGTTGTTGTTATTATTATTATTATTATTTGAGTTGGAGTCTTACTCCATCACCCAGACTGGAGTGCAGTGGCATACTCATGGCCACCCCAGCATCGACCTGCTAAGTTTGAGCGATTCCACCTCAGCTTTCCAAGTAGCCGGAACTACAGGCGCGAGCTACTATGCCCAGCTAATTTTTTATTTATGTTAGAGACGAGGTCTCACGAAGTTGCCTAGGCTGGTCTTAAACCCACGGGCTCAGGCAATCCTCTTGCCTTGGTCTCCCAAAGTGCTGGGATTATAGGCTGAGCCACCAAACCTGGCCAGTTTTATAATTTGAATAACCAGCTTTACTACATTAGCTAAGGGTTGCTCACTTCCATAAATTCTTTGTCCTGATACTGAAAAGTTCTTAGGCAATGTTTTGTTTTTCTTTTCAACTGTGTTATAAATATAAAAACCTTGGCCAAACACACACACACACACTCACACACTCACACACACATATTTATTTATTTATAATAATGTCTAATGCTGGAAAATAAACCGTTTCTTTGGGCTCCATTTTAAATTACCCTTGGAAGGAGACTCAAACATACATTAGTCTGTATGGTTTTTTACCATCTCCACCTCAAGTTTTATATACATTAGATGCATGAGATAAGTGCTTGTCTGTGGTGAGTTGAGCCCCAAATGATGGAATAAGACAAAGTTTGAAAAAAAAACATATATATATATATATATATATATATATATATATATATATATGACATACATAATGTGGCCTGTCTTCTAAAATGTTTCCAGAAGTCTCAGCTTGCCTGTAGTTAGATTATTGGTACGGCCTCATTGACTTTGACAGCCTTCCATCGGTTTGCATGGTAGCCTTCAGGGTTAAACTCTTAGTTGTGACACAAAAGTTCTGGTTCTTGATTGTTATGGCGTAACTTTAAGTGGGAGAATTAGGCCATTTGAACACACATACCTGGATTTTCTTTTTCTTACTTGTTGCCAAGTGTATATACTCTGCTAGCTGATGCAGTTGACTAAGGAAGAAGAAAAAGGCACAAAGGAGTTATAGTCCAGCTTCCCCACAGTGCCCAAAGCAGCCCCCGGTGGTATCGCAGTGCTTTTAGAGACTTGAAGGAGGTACCGTGAAGCTTCACTTCCTGGATAAGTCCATGACATTGGTCTGATGTCTGTCTTCCCATCTGTATTGGAAGTAGAAATCTAAACACTACCTGAAGCACAGTTTTACAGTGAATTCTGGGAACTCGGGCCTGTCAGCAAAAGTGAGTTGCAGACTCTTAAGGACCCAGTATTCTGCTTCTATTCGGCTGTATTTATTTGCCATAAGAGTTTCTGAAATTCAGTATAACACCAGAACTTGTGATTGTTACCCTCTTCTTCCATGTTTCTTCTGTAAATTCCCTCAAAGACCCTAATATAATTGTAAGAGACTGCTAATAAAAACCAAAATAATGAATGTTTACACAGAGCAGTTCACCTCGACTCCCCCAACACACACACTCCTTGGTGGGAGAGTGAGTATTTGAGAGCTGTAAGGCTTATCATCCAGATGACTTTCTTTTTTTTTTTGAGTTGGAGTCTCAACCTGTCACTCAGACTGGAGTGCAGTGGTCGCTCCCGGCCACTGCAGTCTCAACCTGCTGGGCTCCGGTGATCCTTCCGCCTCAGCCTTCCAAGCAGCTGGAACTACAGGCGTGCGCTACCACGCCCGGCTAATTTTTGATTTATTGTAGAGATGAGGTCTCGCCAAGTTGCCCAGGTGGGTCTTGAACCCGCGGGTTAAGGCAATCCACTCACCTCAGCCTCCCAAACTGCTGGGATTACAGACTGAGGCACGGACCCCAGCCCAGATGACTTTCAAACAACAAAGGCAGCCCAGGAGTTGCCATTTGCAAATGTTATCTACTGTCTACAGTTTGCATTTCCTTTACTGTTTGGCACCTTGGGACCTATGAACTAAGGAAGGAGGTAGCAGCTGCTACTCAAAGTCTTGACACAGACCCTGGGAATAGCTCCTACTTGTATAGTTATATTGAGCTCAGGTGAAATGTTATTTCTGTGTCAGTCCAAATCAACCTTAAAGATAAGAAGGGTGGCTGAACTTGGTGGCTCATGCCTGTAATTCCAGCATATTGGAAGGCTGAGGTGGGAGGACTGCTTGAGCCCAGGAGTTCAAGGCCAGCCTGGGCAACATAGTGAGCCCTAGTCTCTACAAAAAAAAAATTAGCCTGGCGTGGTGGTACATACCTGTGGTCCTAGCTACTTGGGAGACTGAGGAGGAATAATCATCTGAGCCCAGGAGATTGAGGTTGATTGTGCTACTGCAATCCCACTTGGGCAACAGAGTGAGACTCTGACTAAAAAAAAATAATAATAATAAGTAAATAAATAAGAAGGATGATCCTTAAAAAGATCCTGTCATGAATTTGAAACCTTCCCCAAGCCTGCTGTTCCTGGGCTTTTCATCATCTGCTCCCGTCATAGGCCCTTCCTCTTCATTTTCTTCAAAGACACAAAGTATCAGATCAGATCCTGCCCAAACTGGAGGAACAAGAAAATACTAGCAGGACCCTAAGCAGCCAATGAGAGCCTGTAATAAGAGGGGATCAAATTAGAGCCCTCATTATGACACGCTTCTTTGAGAAGGAGACAGCTCTGAGGGAGAGATTGTGTTTCTTTCACTCTTGGTATTCATTTAGCTTTCCTACCAGGCATACACGCTTAAAGGTGTGCTAGTCTGCGTATAATTGGTACCAAATAATGATGTAGTGCACTGGTCTGCATATAATTGGTACTAAGTAAATATGTGCAGTCACTCATTTCACCTGAAAATCCAACATGGAGCTAGCCACCAGACCGAGTTCCAGTAATTTTACCAACCAAACACTTATCAAACCTGTGCTGCAAGGGCTTTGCAGGGTACAAAGTGTATTTCAGGAATGTCCAGAGACAACATAATCCTGAATGTGTCTCTCACGCCAAGCTCTTTCTTCTTTTCTGGCAGGCATGGACCCATGCTGGTATTCTCTTAAAACACAAATACAGTTTCCTGGTGGGATGTGCCTCAATCTCAGATGTCATAGCTCAGGTAAATATGGTCTGTGTGTCAGTCAAAGCTACTCAGAATCCACTTCTGGCGTGTGTTCCTGATGCATGGTTTACGTCCGTTCACTGTGCAGTACACTCTGCATTCAGCCTGGTTTCAGCAGCACCGTTACATCAAATATAGACCTCGGTGTCTGTTGAATGAATGAGGAAAAGACATTCCCTGTAATAAAAGTATGTATGATTTTGCTAGAGTACAGGCTGTATGAATTTAAATTTAATATTGAGGTCTTGACCTTTATTTTTAAAGGGCATACATGGCAAATGACTGTAAAGTCACACCTAGTCCATTTTGGGGGTTCATAGGGTTGCTATGTACTTGGTTGGGTGCTCTCTGCCTGGTCTCACTATGCGAGTCTGTCACTCTGTTCTAGAGAGAGCACTCCTAGGAATTATTATTTAAAATGTTATTTCTTGTGTTGTTGCTGTGCAGGGCTGCCACTCACAGGTCACTTACCCACATTTAAAAAGAACCAGGAAGCCGGTTCAGTTATCTTTTCAGAGAAGACCTACGTTCTGCTTTCTGTTGGGTCCAATTCTCAGAGATCTGGCTCCAGCCCTGGCTCTTTTTCCTTTTTTCTTCCACTAAGGATACCTCGTGAAAAATTTTAGCCGTTCATTAGATTTAATGCCTGTGATTTATAAATTAGACTAAGTTCCTACAACCAGGGATTTGGGAGAACGGCTTCCTCACAGAGGAGGAGGTTAGACTATGATCTGGAAGTTTCCTCCAAATCTCAACTCCTCTCCTCTCTCCTCTCTGGGAACATTTCCATGCCTCTCTCCCCTACTGCAAGCCCTGATCTTTCAGCTACCTTTTTTTGAAATAATCTACTGTTGAACTATTAGTACCTCCCTAAAGGCCAAGAATTAAATTTCCAAATTAATCACATTTCCTGCATGGATCATTATTAAAAGTAATTTAAATTAATTTCTGCAAGCACTGTGTATGCATGCCTGAGTACTAGCGAACACCCTTCTTTGATGTATCTTTGTTAATTTTCTTGTAGAGTTATTAGAGAATTTTGTCCCAGTCTTACTTTTCAGCATCCTCTGAGAGATGAGCTAAACTGCCTTTTTCACGCTAATCACTTAATTTGAAATTCAGGAAGCCCCTCTGATTTCAAACGTTGGCATCAGCAATTCAGTGAGCATTTGTGAGCACACATTTGTAGATGTGTGGGTTTTTTAGGGCAAAAAAAAAAAAAGAAAGAAAGAAAAACCCTTTACTTTGCCTAAAATAAATATAGTAAGCATGCAAGGACAAAAGAAAGAAAGCATGTCTCTGAAAAACACTTCACCGATACACCACCAGCCATTTTCCTTCTCGGTTTTAAGCCTGACCCTGGTCTGTTCAGGGAAGACTCTCCCAGGATTGGAATAAACAGATCTGGGTGGTAGGAGTGTGGAAGCTGAGTTCAGATACCATCTGGCCTCAGGCTGTGCCTGGTGGAGTAGTTATTTTAAACCTTGTTTTTTGAGTTTCTCCCACAATGTAGTTAGGGAAACAAATTCTCTTTTTGTTCTTAAGCCTTTTGCCCCCAAGCTTCCTCTCATTACCTGAAAGCATTTGTTAGTTTTACCTAGTTTGGTAATGAGTAAATAGATCCCATGCAAAGTAGTGTGAATTACCACTTTGGCATAAAACAGAAAGTCACCATCAAGGATAAAGCGAAAATTGTTTGTTTGTTTGTTTACTTATTTATTTATGAGTTGGAGTATCACTCTGTGATGCAGGCTGGAAGGCAGTGGCATGCTCATTACTACCACAGGCTCTCCCTTCGGGGCTAAGTGGATCCTTTTGCCTCAGCCTCCCAAGGAGCTGGAACTATGGGTACGCACCACCACACCCAGCTAATTTTTTGATTTATTGTAGAGAAGAGGTCTTGCCAAGCTGCCCAGGTTGGTCTCAAACCCCTGAACTCAGGCAATCCTCTTGCCTCTGCCTCCCAAAGTGCTGGGATTATAGGTGTGAGCCACCATGCCCAGCGGAAATCATTTGTAATGCCTCAAATTTCAATGGCAATTCTCGCTTTTTTCAGATTTGACTAAGCAAATGGGTTTCACACAATAGTACAAAAAAACCTCTTGATTTTGTGTGTGTGTGTGAGTTAGAGTCTCACTCTGTTGCCTAGGCTATAGCGCAGTGGCACGTTCAATGGCCACCACAGCCTCGATCTGCTGGGCTCAGGTGGTCCTTCCGCCTCAGCCTTCCAAGTAGCTGGAACTATAGGCGTGCGCTACCACACCCGGCTAATTTTTTATTTATTGTAGAGATGAGGTCCCGCCATGTTGCCCGGGCAGGTCTCGAACTCGCGGGCTCAGGCAGTCAACTCACCTCGGCCTCGCAAACTGCTGGGATTACAGGCTGAGCCACCGAGCCCAGCCGGCCACACCTCTTGATTTGGTTCAAACATGCAACGCTTTCTGTGCCACGGTTATTGTAGTAGTTATGTTTTTTCAATCAATCACATCGCCAAGGGATTTGTGAAAAAGTACTGCTGTTTTTGTTTTCTTTTGTGGTCACCTGGACTTTCTTGGCTTGCTCAGTACCAAAGTGAGAATGCTCTTGAGGTTGTCGGACCTCCCAGCCTCTGACTTCTCTGCTGTCATCAGCCCTTGCTTTTTGAAGTTAGCTGACATCTCAGGAATGATCAGATCAGAATCTGTAAATTCCCTTATCTCTTGCCTTTTCATGCCAGCCTTCTGGCAAAACTCTACTCCTGTACCAACCCTGTGTTGTACATTTTCATCCCCCCGCTCCCCGGCAGCAAGTGCTCCTGCAAAAGACTTACACGGTGGGACAGAATAATCAAACTGTGAGTGCGCAGTCTCATCCCTCACCTCTGCTGCCTCTCCCAACCTCCCACTCCCCCACAGATGACTTCATTTTCCACTTCACAGAGGAAATTGCAGCCACCAGACCTACAAGCTTTCCTTCCAACCCTTGCGCCAGCTCTGTTTTCCCCTCCTATCTAGGGCTATTTCCTCATTACAACCCCAGGATCCTGACTGTGCTACTTTCTTAGGGATCATTTGATCAGTTATCAGTGACTCCCCCCACCATCATTTTCTTTGTCATGTAAACACGCTCAAATCTCAGGCATCTTAGGACAACTTTCTCTGGATCCCACCTGCTTCTGTAGTTACAATTCTCTCTCCCCTTGTTACTTCACAAGCAGACTTCTTGGAAGGGTGGTTTCTACTCACCGTGTCTCTACTTTCTCACTTTGTATTCTCTTACCTAGAAGGTGTCACTAAACTTTTTGGGCCATTAAACCCAATGGACAGTTTCCACGATCTGCACTCTGTTGTGACTACGCCCTCCTCAGTGAGACACACCTTCCCATGGACCCTCACCACTGGAGTCTGAGTTTCTCTCCTGCTTCTGGACGACCAGCCTCCTCTGTCGACCTGCAGATGGTGAAGTCCTCCAAGGCTCTTCTCTCCTCACTGTGATCTATTTGTGAGGAATCGAGTGCATGCCTTAGGCTTAGAAATACTGGTCGCCTGCCCCTCTCCTGTGAGCTCTGGATAACGCTCTGCAAATGTCCCTGTGCCGTTTCCACCCAGATCCTTCAAAGGCACCTGAAGCCTGAATGAGATGGCCTTGTTTGTGTCAAGCATTTCACTTTTGAGCTAATCAGTGGCTTTGCCATCTGGTCAGAAAGCTCGGAACCACCTAGAAGAGCCTGCCTTTCTCACCAAGCCTTGTAGATTTTAGTTCTGGATGTCTCTTCAGTCCCCCACCTCTGCCCATCCCTGCTATGCTGCCCTGGCCCGCGGGATCATGCCCTCCCATCTGGACTGTGGGGAAGCCTCCTCACTCGCCTCTGCCTGCCTGCTCTGGCTCTCTCTGCCTTCCCCTCTGCAGCCACAGTGGTCTTTGTCCAATGAGATGCTGGCCACCTCACCCCTTGGTTAAAAAATAGCGTTCTGGTATAAGGTATGGTTGTCTGGTGAACATCCTTGCCCAGCGTTCTTGACAAAAAGCCAAAATCCTGAGAAAGGCTACAAGGTACTGCAGACACAGGGGGTCCTGCTACCTCTCCCTGGCACCATCCTCTTATCCTTTCAGCCCCTTGATCTCTGCAAACCCAACACAGGCCCTCCCTTGGGGGGCTCAGTGCAGCGGATGCCCTTGGGGCACTTAGCAGGCGCTGTTCCCTCTACCCAGCATGAATGCCCTTCCTCAGTTCCCCCCACCTCCTGTTCACTCCTGCTCAGGCCGTATGTCTCAGCTCAGATAGTGCTCCCCAGAAGGCACCCCCTGTCTGATGAACATCCTTGCCCAGCACTCCCCAAGTATTGACACTCAGTCTAGCATTCACCTTCACGCTCAACATTCAGACATCTTGCCTCCTCCACTAGATTGGCAGCCCTGGAGATCAAGTCTGGGACTGTCTTATTTATCGCTGAATCCTGGCACCTGGGATAGGGCCAGCACACACCTGCTTTCAGTGGGGAAAGCCTCACTGCTGAGACAGTAGGTTCCCCCAGAAGATCATCCAACCTATATTTGAGGGCCATATCAAACTTAATTCTGGATTGAAGCACAAAAGGCACTAGTGTTATTGTAAATTGTTAAACAGTAATCCCCTGTGGAGATGTCAGCACCATGATGAGTGCCGCAGTCCCTGGCATCCATTCAGTAGAGATGCAGTGAGACTGATACTGTCTGCACTGGGGCCCCAGGAACTTTCCAGGCTGAAACCATCAGTCTCCGTCCTGCCCACTTTGCTCCTAGAGCAGTTTCTTTGTCACCTCCACGCTTACTCCTCTTGTGCCCCCTCTCCCTTTTTCTCCTTCTCCAGCTCCTCCTTAGTTCTGCTTGTTGGGCATCTGTCTAGCAGAGCCATCCTAGACTTGGCAGTGTCCTCACGTTCACTTCCAGTATTCATCCTCATGTCCAGTACTCAACCTCATGTCCATTACTCACCCTCATGCCCAGTATTCATCCTCACGCCCAGTATTCATCCTCATGTTCAGTATTCATTCTCGTCAGTATTCACTCTCACGTTCAGTACTCAGCCTCACATCCAATACTCACCCTCAAGCCCGGTCTTCACCCTCACACCCAGTATTTATCCTCACTTCCAGTACTCATTCTCACATCCAGTATTCTTCCTCAAATTCAGTAGTCACCCTCACAACCAGTATTCACCCTCACATCCAGTACTCATTTCAGGTCTGATATTCAGTTTTCATGCAAGTTGATTTCAGCCTTTATACCTCATTGTCTAGTTTACCTCACAGACTTTGTAGATGTTAAACGTTGAACTTGTTGCAGGCATACTCCTAGAATGCAGATAAGGGCACCCCAGAGGCCTTTAATTAGTTAGATAAATAAATAGGCATCACGGCCCTGCCACAAAACCACCACCTTTCTATTCCAGACACAGTATGTCCCTAGCAAGACTTTCCCAAATGGTCTTCACATCTTTCGGCTTATTCAGTATAATATAGTTGGTCCATTTGGAAGCAGCAATCATGGTGGGAGCCCTGGGCATCCTTATTTTCATTGCTGAGTACTGTATCCCTGGTGAGTGTGAATGTGAGCGTGACTGTGAACATAAGCATGAGTGTGACTGTGAGCATGAAGGTGAGCGTAGTCTGTTCATACTGCCTGTGCTCAGGACCTCTGTCCCCTGCGTTCCCCTGATAATTCAGTGACAAGGTGAGTCTCATTTCCTGAGTTTCAGAATGACAGTCTGGGCACCAGTGTCAGTCTGTGCTGTAAGCAAAGCCCTTCTAGCAGCTAATGCTTTCCTTTCATTCAAAAGAGTTTCTCTCCACCCCTCCCCCCATCCTTCTGGGTTCCCCTCAGTGTGCTGTGGCAATGCAGCTACGTGCTGATATATTAAATCATGCTGGTTTTGTAATCTTCCGTCATCACTGATTTCTTGATCATGCAGGGTTCAGGATAGCCCTTTGGTGAGGAGCACTTGGTGACATTGTCTTTTACATGCCTGTTTTTCTGTGGGTATTTGGCCATTAAGGTTGATGTCGTTCAGGAACACCACGCCTCCCTCCCCCAGCATGACCCAATTTTGACATCCAGGGTCTTCTGAATGAGCAGATCCCGAGAGGACCCTGAACAGCGGCTGGGCTGATTCTCTGATTTCTGCAGGATGGGAAGTCACACATTGTTAAAGTTGCTTTAGAGACTGTCCATTTGCTTTAGAGATTGATGCTGCATGATAATTTCAATCTCTCTTGACACCCTATTCTACTTTTATATGCTAATATTTTGAGTATTAATGTAAGTTGTTTTATAATAATTATTGTTGGTGTTTTTTGTTTTTACAGCATTTTTGGTGATTTTTTTTTTTTAATGGAATCAGGGCCTTGCTCTGTTGCCCAGGCTGGGGTGCAGTGGGTGCCATAGCTCGCTGTGGTCTCAAACTCCTGGGCTCAAGCAGTCCTCCTACCTTAGCTTCCTGAGTAGCTAGGACTATAGGCATAAGCTACCATGCCCAGCTAATTTTTAAACTTTTTGTAGAAACAGGGTCTCACTACATTGCTCAGACTGGTCTTGAACTCCTAACCTTAAGCAATCCTCCTGCCACAGTCTCCCAAAGTGCTGGGATTACAGGCATGAGACATCACAACTGGTTCATTTTAATAACTTCCATTCTATAAATGTTAACGTCTATTTTCCTCTCTATTGTCATTGCTACTGTTTTTTTTTTTCCCTTTATGGAAGTCCACTTGAGTCCTCAGGTGTGAGTTACATGTGCCCCTCAGTGATCAGCTCAAGAGGGATGAATGCTACTAGATTTGGAGGGACTTGGAGGCCAACGTTTCTAGATTTTTTTAAAACAATATCTTAAAAAGCAGCCTTAAAATAATTTTGCAATTGCCTTAAAAGAATCTTTGTGTAGATATAACAAAATGGTGGGTGTGTTTGTTCAGTGAATTCCAAACATCTGTACCTGAACTCTGTGAGAGCAACATCAGATCCCCCAAGCTGGTTTTCTTTGCATCAAAGTCAAGGTTTTCACTCAGAGATCTGTCTCCTGTGCTTCTGCTGATCCGTTTCCTCTTTCTTCTCCCGTTTTCCATCTCTCAGGTCGTTTTTGTAGCCATTTTGCTTCACAGTCACCTGGAATGCCGGGAGCCCCTGCTCATCCCCATCCTCTCCCTGTATATGGGCGCACTTGTGCGTTGCACCACCCTGTGCCTGGGCTACTACAGGAACATTCACGACATCATCCCCGATAGAAGTGGACCCGAGCTGGGGGTGCGTATGTCTTCACCAATTCGACAGCAGTCTGTCTGGGACTCGGAGGACAATAAAATCATATTGTGCCTCTATATAAATGACAAGTCAGTGCAGTGAAATCAAATCATCAAGTTGGCTGCGATGTCACACCCAGAGGCCAAGAGTAGCATGCTGGGTAGCATCTGCAGGAAAAGACAGTGGAGAAGTAATGAATTCCAAGGGAAGGACATGGTCTTAGATGTCACTTTTTAGCCTTCTTAACCTATATGAGGAGACTGGCACACAGCAAATCATGTCAGGCCAAGGAATAGATAGATTTATGGTTCTTTTTATTCTCTGTCATATGTTATTCTACGGTCAACAAAGATTTTTAAGACCCATGGTGCCTTTGAGTTCACACTTATTTTTAAAATTTTACATCAGAGACCCAGACTCTGTTTATACTTTCTGCGTTGGCCAATCACAATCTCTTATTCAGGGACCAAGCAGAGCATTAGATACCATAGGACAATGAGGAAACTTTCGAGATTTGGTTTCCACTGTCCAGTATCTTTCCATCCAGTTTGGCAGATCAGACACAGAAGCAACAGTTAGACATGAATCCGAGACAGTGTGTAAACGTCAATGAGAATGTTAGAGCCCCACTGCAGTTAAGAGAAAGAACATAGTAATGTGCTCTAGGGAGCCTCCTTAGAGGAGGTAGACCTTGCCCATGTCTTGAAAGTTGACTGAGAAACACATAAGGGTAACATAGGTAATCTTACACAAGTAACCAAAGCATTCTATTCACCATGAATAGTCACAGTGTCTGATCGATATGTGCGCTAATGTTTCCTACCCATGGGTGGTAGGCACCATTGGGTTCATTTGCATCGAGCTGTAAGGCAAATGTGAAGAGTCACATATTGCCCTGAGTAAATCATCATGCCTCACCCTTGATCCCCACGTCGAACACAGGTTACCTTTTTCATATCAGAGCAGTAAAATTATCAACCACTCATCTCCATCCAAGGTCAGCCTGCCAGCAAAACCCCATCTCAATATTTCCATCAGTAGGCCAACTGCGAGTTGTTCTTGATGGTAACATGCCGTTTCTTAACATTTAGCCACCAGCAAAGGGACATAAAATGACTGAGATGGTTCCGTGATGTAACGCTTACCCTCATGAAGAATCAAATCCAAAATTGCATGGTGAAAGCTAGACTTTAAAGACCTCCCACACCTTTGCTGCAGATTTAGGAAATCATGTGTTCTTTACCATGCTTTTGTTTTACTTGTGCTTCTGAACAGTTTATATAACTTCTGTGAGAGCTCTGAGACTAAGAACCTCTGTAGTAGATTTATTCAGTGCCGAAATAATTAGGCATGTTTAGATATGCTGACTGATTCCAAAATAAATTTATGGTGGTCTTTTTTTTTAATTTCTAAGAGTTACCTCTTACTGATATGGCTTCTAGCCAGCCCACTTGATGATAGAAACAAAGACTAGTTTCAAACCTGTTTCTTGGGCCCTGGAATTAGGTTCCACCTTGGTTTGAGGTTCTCTGATTCCCCGTATGGAAAACCGTGGTCAGGAGCCCCTCAGTTTCATTGTGTGTTTTGATTTCACAGTAGCTTGCCAGCTGCCTGAGTTAATTTCTAATAAGTCTGAACATTTTATTTAATCCAGCTTGGCTTGTCTACAGAAGCTTTTTCCTATGTTACTTTTAAGTATAGCGAATTGGCACATGATTGACATAAAAAAGAAAAGCTTTGATTCTGAATTTTTTCTGTTTTTCTTCTAGAGTTTAGTAAACTTTGATCTCATTTCATAATGCAGGGAGATGCAACAATAAGAAAGATGCTGAGCTTTTGGTGGCCTTTGGCTCTGATTTTGGCTACACAGAGGATCAGTAGGCCTATCGTCAACCTCTTTGTTTCCCGGGACCTCGGTGGCAGTTCTGCAGCTACAGAGGTAGGGCATGTTTTGAGGATATGCGTGCTTGTAATCACATTGGGGCAGTGTGGAGAGGGATTAAAATTTATTTCCAGTTCACCTGGAGGTCTTCGGTAATTCCAGGATATTAGATTATATGACGCAGCCACACTAGGAAACCATGGAAGAGCTCATCTGGTGACTTTTAATCATGCGATTTTATATTTTTATGATTATGGAAGAAAACACGCAATTCTTCCTTCTCGGTTGCCATTTGCGGAATTGAGGCACAGAAAGGAGAGGTTAAAGAACCAGCTGGAAGCTGGACTAATGCTAAAATCCAGGTCTTCTGACTCCACTTCGTTTTCTATTTCCCGTGGAGTCCGCGCACGGCCTCTTGGCTGTGTCAGAGGATGATGGAACATGCCACATGGCAGCCGAGGGGAAAACACCCAGCATGCAGGGCCGCTGCCTGTATGTGACCCGGCCTGTCCTCACCTGCCCTTCTCCCTCCTGCACCTGCCACCCTTCCCGTCGTGACTCTACCTGCCCCTGATCCACCCTCCTCAGATGAGGATCTCCCTGCCTGACCCACTCACAGCTCAAGGATGTTATCTGGAAACTGGCAGCTACACCAGAGAGAGAGTCGGCTCATTTTCCCCCCTTTCAAGTTGGGTTTGAACAAACAGAATTACTTCATTGGATTCCTCTTCCACTGCGCTCCAGAGAATTAATTCTGTCTCTGGAACTGCCGATCCCAGGGAAGGCTGATGGCTGCTCATCAGGGCCTCCTGTTAGGGCGTTGCTTGTGCGAGGGAGCAGCCTGGAGCCCTGACTGCGCTGTCAGCATGTCTCCAGCCCAGAGTTGCCTGCCAGTTTCCATGTCCTGGGAAGTAGCTCATGTTGGCCAGGGAAGAGGAGCCCATAAATCAAAAGCAGAACGCCTTTTCTTGCCTCGGTGTGTTCCTGGATTTTTTCTTTCTTTTTTTTTTTTTAAATCATGAATGTCATCTTGGGTGGCTTCTGTAACACAGCAGCTTTTGTACATGAACACTTGGGCTCAGGTTTCCCATAAAAACCTATGGGGACCCTCGTCACCGGTGGGCAAGAATTCCCTCTTCTCCTTAAAGAAAAAATGGACACATTATGTATTAAAGCCATTTCAAAATTGCTTTCCATGGCGTATGGGCACAGTGTGCAGGCAGCACAGAGTTGACATCAATCGTCTACTCATGTGTCAGGCATTTGTAGATTCCCATGACTCCCCAATAACCCTGTGGAATAGGAGTTATTAGTCTCACTGTCTTGCTGGAGGAATGGGAAAGAAGCCCCGAAAGGGTCCATGCTTCACACAACTGATAAGTGACAAGGTGAAGGTTGGATCTAGGTGCACCTAATTCAGCACTCTTTTTTGTCCCTTCCCACCACACCCCAGCTTCTCCCCATAGCTGGGGACTTGCCTCATGTACCTGGCACTGCTGTGCATTGCCATTCTGTTAATTAAAATAGATAAAGCCCATCCTCCTCATCTTCTACCAGCGACTCAGAGAGTTGAACACTGCCAGAATGTAGGTTTAGAAGCTTTGTCTTTATTTTTCTTCCTGTTTTATTCACATAAGAGAAGAAACTCATTTTCATGAAAATGCATCGATAACGTCCTGCATGAAATTTGTTTATTTAATTTCTTTTAAGTTAAAAGTCTAAAATTGGCCAATCTGGGCAACATAATGAGACCCTGTCTTTCCAAAAAAAAAAAAGGAGGGGGAAAAAAAACCAGCTGGGTGGCACATACCTGTCATCCCAGCTACTTGGGAGGCCGAGGCAAGAGGATCGCTTAAGCCCAGTGGCACAAGGCTGCAGTGAGCTGTGATCATACCACTGTACTCCAGCCTGGGCAACAGAGCAGAACCTTCTGTCCCATTCTGAAAAAGTCTACATGGAGACATACTCATTGAATAGCCTGGGAGTGAGTTGAGAATAGCACACAGCCTTCAGCAAACATGTGAGGTGTCACTAACCTGAAGGGCAGAGTGGAGACTCAGAGGTGGATACCAAGCAAAAGACTCTCCAAAGAGCAAGAGGACTCACAGTTCCATTTTGAGAATCCAGAATAGTGCTAGACTAGAGGGTTTGGCTTGGCTCAATGGAATGAGCAGAGATTCTGGAGTCTGGTGGACCTGGGCTGAAGTCTTGACTTCTCCAGCCAGTGATCTGAGCCCACTTCTCGCTGGATTCACATCAAATGAGACGCCCCCTCTTGGTCTCACATCCACTTCATTGGCTCACTCCTTCCACTCCAGGGATGCAGCAGAACACCCCTTAGAGCACAATTTGCTGTCAGTCCCTCCCTTTTTGGGCCATCCTGTGACTGGTGATGTTTACCATTCAGTGTGGAGGGCTGTCCACGGCAGCCACACCTGAGGCCGCTTGCTCTGTCATGTGCCACATGGCAGCTCCTGGAGAACCTTTTCCTGATGCCCTTGCTAACTGCCACCTCCTTCTGTTGTAGGCGGTGGCAATTTTGACAGCCACGTACCCCGTGGGTCACATGCCGTACGGCTGGCTGACGGAAATCCGCGCTGTCTATCCTGCTTTCGACAAGGTGAGAACCTGTGCCTGTCATGTCTGAAACATGCTGTTTAAAAGGACCGTTTGACAAGGCTCTCTGATGAGGGACACTTTGTTGTTCCTCAGTCTTACCTCCCTGTAGAAGGTTCATGTGATGCAGAGCGTGTTAGAGGTAACTAGAATAGTCTCAGAAAATCACGGGGCAGGTTTAGGTTTACCTTGGTGATGGTCCTATGATGCTTTTCCAAACTGATATTCCTGTTGTCACTTACAGGTTATTTCTATCAAGAAAGTATTTGTTGGCAAGAGAGAAAGTAAATTCTCAAAAAATGTAATTCATTGGATTTTGTTTCTTGAGTTAAACTAATACTTTACTGACCTCTTACCAGATGACTGAGGTACAGGCTGTGCACTGGTCCTCATAGGCATGCAGTCTCTGTTGCCATGCTGGTCTATACATCCTCGCAAGTTGTCCATACAGCAAGACTTGGGTCCAGGGTGATTGTGATGTGGGAGACATCGTCCTACAGACAGCCTCTGTTGACAGCTGCTCTGTTCTCCCCAGCCATGCGAGGCAAATAACCCTTCTGTCAGGACTGTCCTGCTGTCATTCAATAAGTGTCTATTTCATTATTTAAACCTACAGGCTTTTATCGTAAAACGAGTGACTAGAAAAACATACCCCCCAAATAGTGTACAGTGTTTTAAAATGGAAAACAGGAAAGAGCAAACAGCCCGCCACTTGTACTATTAGCAGTGACTCTTTTGCCTTGACTGTCTATAGAGCTAGTTCAGAACCACTGCTGACATCATACTGTCTCCGCCCAATAAGAGCTCGTGAAGTGAGGAGAGGAAGCCTCTTAGCCAGGGCATCCCAGCAGATCAACGCTGGCAGAATGGGCTGCCTGGAACGTGAACCTGGCTGATGCTGGCTCTCTCCCTGCTTCCCCTAGCCCTACTCCTCGTGTGCTCAGGAAGCCGCCTGAGCAAGGCCAGGCCATGGGCTGCAGGTCTCCCTCTTTCTTTCCTTCACAGCCACCAGCTTCTGAAATCCCCCTGTTTAAACTGTTTGGGGGCTTCTAAGGGAGGACAAGACCTGTGGAGTGGGGGACCCAGGAGGGGCTTCTGACTCTTCCCACCTCCGCCTTGTCCCTTGACCGAGAGCATCCCCGCGAGCCTCTGTGACAGGGATGCGGTGGAGAAGGAGGATCAAGTCTAGAGACAGAGCTCCCGCTGTCCGTCCTCCTCCCTCTCTGCTCCTGTGGTCCTGGGCAGAGTTTGCCTCTTAGTGCAGGCTCGTGTGAAAACACACACACACACACACACACACACACACACACACACACACACACACACACACACACCCCAGCTCTCACTTCCCCATGACTACCTGAAAACTCATTAGGGAATCCCACCGTGTAACCTAATGTGAAATAGGCCCAGGTGTCTTTACTGGGTATGGAACGTCCTCAGTAGACCATTAATGAGGACTCATCATCTTCTGGACTGTTAGTTAGGACCCACCACCTATGGGACTGCTAGTTAGGACCCACCACCTACTGGAATACTAGTTAGGTAGGACCCGTGACCTATTGGAATGCTAGTTAGGACCTGCCACCTACTGGAATGTCAGTCAGGACCCACCTCTACTGGACTGCTAGTTGGGACCCACCACCTACCAGACCATTAGTTAGGAGCTACCACCTACGGGACTAGTAGTTAGGGCCCACCACCTAAGGGACTACTCGCTAGGGCCCATCACCTGTGATGGAAGTACTTCTAGTTTCAACATCCACATGCCTAGCTGCTCCTAAGAAAGCCTTTGATTCTGACTTCACGGGCCTCAGCGAGTGGACTTCAGAAGGCACAAGTCGCTTGCTGGAGAGAGCTGACAGTCTCCATTTGAGTGGGTTTAATTCAGTCTATAGCTAGAAATCATTGTTTTCATTTCAAGGAACATGTATATAGAAGTAAATCCTAGAAAACCAACACAGATACAGGTCTTCTCGCTAAATTTCAGCTCCAGCTCCTGGAGAATGAGATGGTTATCTAATGAAACTTGATGAGAAGCACAGGTGCTGAAGTGCTAGGATCTCCTGGCTGCCAAGTTCTCATCTGAAATTGCTTTTGGCCACCTTGAGATCGTAAAACTTAACAATACACCACTGTATGGCTTCAGTAGGAGCATCCAAGAAAAACACTGTTTTATTCATAATCACAGGGGTTAGGAGCTATGAAGAAGTCCCTATAACGAGCCTACCTCTAGCCAGAAACTCTAGCCAGAATCACGGTTAGTCAAAATTCTTATAAAACCTGCCCATTGCTTCCAGGCATTCCAGCAAGCTGCACGTCAGTCAGTCAGTCGTGTGAATGCCGGCCATTCACCAGTGTCTCAGACCACCTCTGTGTGCACCTCCAGAATTTGCTGCATTGACACTTGCAATCCTTAGCCTCTTCGTGGGTTCCAGAATAAGAGATTTAAAATTTCTCACATACCTTCTGGTAGTTCTAGCTAAATATGAACAGAGAGGTTCCCACTAGGGCAAATTCTCTCCACGGTTCAGTTTTCTGCACAAGAGAGAGTATGCTTCTGAGCAGATTGGGTAAACAAAATGAAACCCCAGTGCTGATCTAATGATACGTGCCAGTTTACTTCAACTGCCTATGCAGAAATACTTGCTATTTTGTGAGTAACCGTGCCCTTGAAGGAACTGGTGGCACGTTGCCATCACCGTGGCTGTGTATGTGTGTTTTGATGACATTGCCTAATTCTTTCCAACATGGGGGACCCACGAGGGCACCGTTCTTACAGGCCCCCGGGGCGAATGGAGATGAGGTTGGCAACTGCTGGGATTTGTGCTTTGCTACGACAGCAGAAAAGCAGATGTGTTTGAGAGACTGGAATGAAGAAAATGTACAGTCACTCAGAGCGCAGTGCTGGTGGCATCTGTAGGGAAGGGAGTAGTGAGGTCACCTTAACCTCCCAGGAAAGAACCAAAACCTCTTTTCCAAGTGGATGCTGCGTGTGTGCCTTTTTTGTCTGGCCGAGTGCACTCCCAGGTGTCTGGGGTTTGTTTTTGTGAGTCGGCTCTGGAACTGACTGAATCCGTAATGGATCTGGGGTTATTTTCCTCTGCTGGCTTTTGCAGCGGAGGGGCCAGGCTGTCATTGTGGTAGGGTGAGGAGCGTGCTCAGCTTTGCTGCTGGGACAGCCTTGGTAGGCCTCTGGCTGCTGAGGGACATGGGACATCTGAGCCACCTGCAGTATTTGCTTAAAACTCAATGTGGTCAGTGCTCTTGGAGCATCTTGTTTAGTAGGATTGTGCTGCGTGTGCTTTAGGGCTGGAGATGGGTGATACACGTAGGGCTCTATCTCAGAGCGCACAGCCTCACTGCCTCGCTGGGGTTTGACACACAGCAGGATGCAATGCCTGTCAAGAGGGTTCCAGGGCCATCAGGCATTGGGCAGGGAGTCTGCCTGGGAGGTCAAAGGTCAGAGAGGCTTGTGGACCAGATGGACTATGAAGATGATGGGCCTTAGAGAGGTGCTTTTGAAAATGAGAAGAAGGAACAAAAGCCTAAGATGTGATGGGGAGGGAAGTGCAGGAACCCCTATCTGGGAGTCTCCAGGTGGAGAAGAAGCAGCCGGACAATGAACTTGCATCAGATTGAACAGGGCCTTGAATGCCCAGTGGAATTCCTAGGAAACCATATGGTAGGGAGGAGAAGAGCCCTGGAAGTCACAGAGTGGCACCGTGGTATTTAGGGAGACACCCGTGGTAGCCAGGCATGAGGTCTGCTGGGGCCCGGGGCATGGCACAGAGGGTAGGAGCAGGCTTCAGAGCCAGGGCCCTGAACTGACCAGGTGGGCCACCAGCACCAAGGGAGGGGACTGAATCAGGTGACACTACCGGGTGTTGAGCCCAGAATTTGCTCTGGGTAATGTTCATGTGCAGGAACCTGACAGCTGTCAAGAGACTCAAGGTGACAGCTGCCTGGCAAACTGTCACTTGAAACCTGTACTTGAGACGCATCAAATAAACAAAAACAAGATGCTGTTTAAGATCCATGGGGGTTCAGCCAAGGATAATCCGAGCCCCGTCACAATGGTCATTTTCTTTCCCTCAGAATAACCCCAGCAATAAACTGGTGAGCACCAGCAACACGGTGACAGCAGCCCACATCAAGAAGTTCACCTTCGTCTGCATGGCCTTGTCACTGACGGTAAGGAGAGAATAGTGTGTGTGTGTGTGTGTGTGTGTGTGTGTGTGTGTGTGTGTGTGTGTGTATCTGTCTGTCTGTCTCTCTCCTCTCTCTCTTGGGAAAATGGATATTTTAAAAGGAGAAACCTTCTGTTCCACAGTGTGATGTTCTACTGGATTAATGAGCAACCTCTTCGATGCATGTCCTTTTCTACATGTAACCGATTGTTATCTGAGGAGGCTATTGAAATTAGGAGTCAAGGATTGAGTTCCAGCATTTCTCAGAACTTCTTAAGTGCTGAAAAAAGGCAGACTTTGCCTTTAATTTGAATAATAGCGCTTGTCTTGCTGAATAATTTCCAACCCAGGTTTTAAACATCCAAAGTCAACTTTATAACCATCCCTGTCCCTCTTCCAAATTTTAATCAGTGCTATTTCAGTTCCTCTGGTAAAAATTCCTTTCCAGTGACATTCCTGCTGAGGTAGCCTGCTTACTTGTCCATCATTCAGCACATCCTTACTGAGCCCCTGCTGGGTCCCAAACCCCGTCTATCTGCTGAGGGTACAGCCTGGGTAACACTGCATCATCAGCAGGGCCTGTTGGTGTCGCCTAATATAAATACATGCATCCTTCCTTACCAGTCTTCCCTGTGGGCAATTCAAATGTGTAAGACAGTGTTCCAAAAACATGAGAAAATGAATTCAGGAAGTCCCCAATATATGAATGAGTTCTATTCCAAGAACTTATTTGTAAGTCCAATTTGTTTTAAGTTCAACCAAGTTAGCCTAGGTACCCAACTAACACAATCTGCTATATAGTACTGTATGTATTTAACAGGCTATACTGACACCTGGTGGTGAGAAATAATGCATAAAAACCTGCAGGTGTGCATCATTAAAGTTTGTAACTTGAAGGTTCATAAGTAGGGGGCGGTATATGCTTTAGAATCCAAAGGACATGATATATCATTAAAGGTTGTTTAGAACATTTATTGAGGGCTGGGCACAGCAGCTCATACTTATAATCCCAGCACTTTGGGAGACTGAGGTGGGAGGATCACTTGAGGCTAGGAGTTTGGGACCAGTCTAGGCAATACAGCAAGACCCCATCTCTATAAAAATGAAATAAAATATTATATGGATGTGGTGGTATGCACCTGTAGTCCCAGCTAGTTGAAAGGCTGAGACAGGAGGATCACTTGAGGCCAGAAGTTCAAGGCTGCAGTGAGCTACTTGAAGCCTGAGCAACAGAGCAAGAGGAAAGGAAGGAAGGGAGAGAGGAAGGAACATTTATCAGCTGTAGCAAAAAGCTTAATATTTATAAACAACCTTACATTGGAGACTCTGCCCTTTGGAGGTGGAGAGAAGAGGCTGGGTGTGAAGAAATAAGGGTCTTTTGAGCTCAGCTCCATTTTCCCTTGTTGTGGCAACATGTCTCCTAGGAAGTCCTGTGTAATCCTCCTGTTAATATATACATCAGAAGTATGCTGCAGAGAGGCCTGAGGGTGTGTAGTTGTCATCATGCATGACTAATAAAGAGGACCTAAGGCCACATAAAGAGCCGTGGTCCTTCTAACCATCATCTTGAGAACCACGGGGCTTGAGCTGTTAGTGGAGCTTTCAAATCAGGCCCTGCACACATTTTAGACCTTTAATGTATGTTTTTGAAAGCCTGTCGCTTAATAGTTGATGCATTGAGTTAACACTTGACTCGACTTTCGTAAGGGCAGCATGAGACACAGAGCCCATCACAGCACACCTCTGACACTGCCAAGTCATGACCTTGTGTCCTCGGCTGCCCCTGTCACCACTCACACAGCTTCTCCCGCCAGCCTGTCCCTGGGGAACGTGGGGGGCGTCAGAGCCTGTTCCAGCACTGCCTCACTGCGGAGCAATTTCTGATAGCAGTGCCTGGCTGAACAGGGCCAGTTCCCCGGCAGTCCCGCTCCCGTCAGCGTTATTTCTCTGTATGGTGTGCAAGTTTTTCCATAGTTCCCTAAAATGTTAGCAAAACACTGAACAACTTTGAAGCTGTTTAAAAGAGTATTTTAGGCAGAACAGAGAAGGTTTCTATTCCAGGAACAGACCTCAGCGTTTGGAGACTGTGTTAAATGACTGGAAGTCCAAAGCTGGGCTGGGTCAGCTGCCAGGCCCTGTGACTTGGACCTTATCTGTATACGAAGCTGGCAGTGTTGGTTTGCTGCTGGGTCTGCCGTCCAGGGACTTACCCCTCTCTCTTCTTTTGCTCTGTTTAAACATCTTCCACAGATGTTGAGGCTGATGAAGACCTTTACCAGATTGGGCATAAGGATATCCTTATCTCTTTCAGTTCACAGGCAATAATTTATACCTCTAAAACAGATTCTTCTACAGCAAGTTTATTTTTTTAAAAAAACTACTTATAATCTGGGAAAATGCTTACATTTTTTCAAGTAGACGTTTTGTTAATTTCTTCTTTTTTTTTTTTTAATATAATAGAAATGCAGGAGGGGTCTCCTTTGTTGCTCAGGCTGGTGTCAAACTCCTGGCTTCAAGTGATCCTTCTGCCTCTCATGCTCCCAAAGTGCTAGGATTACAGGCATGAGTCACCATACCTGGCCAGGATTTTTTTTTTATTATTAATTAGTCCAATCCCTGATCTAAAAACCACCTGTCACTTGAAGTATCTCAGGGCAAATTTTCACTTTAGAAATAGAGACTTGGAACCCTTTGTTGAAAAGGAACTAAGAGATGAACTAGTCAAAACCCGTAATTTTTCAGAGAAAGAAGCAACTCGCACAGGACAGGTGACCTGCCCTGGTACCCAGTAATAGAACCAGCAGGAACCCAACCTTCAGGGCTTGTTCTCCTGTGCCCTGTCCCCGACCTGTGCTTTTCCCAGAAAGCAGAGACAAACATTGGCACTAAGGCCTCCAAACCAGAGCACTTGCTGCCACACCTGAAATGGTGGTCTCCTCAGCATTAAAGGCCATAGCAGCTGAGCTGGCAGCTTGTGAAGGGTATCACACACACTGTCCTTACTGTGATTCAATCAATATAACATCTTGGCTAGAGGAATTGTCATTGAAAGACACATAAAAAAATGTAAAGGGAGATTTTTCTAAATTAAGTATTTAAACCATCACTCTAATGTGTGTATGCCTTTTTATATGGCTTATCATATTCATTCTTGGATGCCTATTGCTACTTTTTTTTTTTTTTTAGTCAGTCTCACTCTGTCACTTAGGCAGGAGTGCAGTGGCCCATGCTCACAGTCACTGCAGCCTTGACTTGCTGGGCTCAGGCGATCCTTCCACTTCAATCTTCCCAGTAGCTGGAACCACAGGCACACATCACCATGCAGCTAATTTTTTGATGTATTGTAGAGACAAGATCTCACCAATTTGCCCAGGCTGGTCTCTAACCCCTGGTCTCAGGCAGTTCTCTTGCCTCAGTCTCCCAAAATGCTGGGATTACAGGTGTAAGCCACCATGCCTGTCCTTATTGCTACTCTTAGGCTCCAAACAACACAAGGCAGGGTCTGTGATGTCATCTTTTACCCCCAGGGCCCAGTGTCCTGCCTGGCCAGAAGATGGACACAGTAACAGGTTGGTCAACACAGGAATCACCGATTCTTAACTATGAGATGCAGGTTAGGAAAACACCCACGGCGCTCACCCGAGGCGAGCGGCAGTCTCCTTATTTATACTCAGCATATCCTATTTTTAAAACTTGTAGGAGGCCTTTGACTTTCTATTCTATTTTTGTTGTTTGAATTTTAAAACTTCTTAATGTCAGGAAATTAATGTAGCCGAGGCCAGTGAGACACTCGAGCTGCACACTTTCTGTTTATTTCAGTAGATGATTTTATGTGCAAAGTACTCACTTCCCAGTGATTCCACAGCGTTCCCTGCCTCACTCAACTAAGTACCTTCCTGAACTGGGCCGCTTGGGGGAAAGCCAGCTCTTGCTATTGAGCCCTTCAGAGGGGCTGACTCCACGCATCCTGCAGACGCTCAGGGACTCTGTGATTCCAAGGACAACTTAGTCCAGAACCCAGATTCACCCCTTCCACCAGAATGGGCTTCTTCTCAGGCTCTGACATTTTGGCTCAATGCCCGTCTCTGCCTGTGAAAAACATGGCCGTGCCACTTTTGACAGTAAGAGACTCGTATTTCAGCCTGCTACAGTGACACATATTTATTCCTCATTATGGATTTTCTCTTTAAAATTAGAACATCTATCCTATGCCAAAAGTTGGTTCTGCCCTCATACTCTTATCCGGAAGATTTTTTTTTTTTTTAATCAGTGAGTTTCAGGAAAAGCAGCACATGTCTTCTGCCCAGTTTGGAAGAGGAGGTGAATTCAGAGACGCGTGGGGAAGAAAGCTGGAAGGATGTTCTGTTTCTGCTGGCATCTTGCTTTCCAGTCCGCTATTAGTGTTCCCAGTAGGGGGGCTGATTGATCTCTAAACCATGTGGTGGGAGTGAGGATGGGGAAAGGGGTGTCTCTAGTCGATCTGAAAGATCAGCTTCAAAACAGTAGGACTGTCAGATAAAAACGAATCTCCTCAGTAGCAAGATGGGGGCGGACACAGCAAAGCCAGGTGAGCAAGGTGCCAGCGGACTGACAAGCAACTGGCAGGGTGAAGGGAAACAGTCCAAAAACACACACGCTAAAGCCATCCAGAGGAGCAGCCTGAGGGTGCACACCCACGTGGAAGTGCAGAGTCCACACAGGAGACACCTCATTGCAGAACAGTGACGCGAGACTCAAGGACTGGGCATCTGCAGGTGCCGGAGTCAGAGCCCGCGGCGCTTTGCCCTGAACTTTCCCGGAGAGCCCGGTCTCTGTTGCGCGTGTGCCTAACTGTGGATCACAGTGGCAATGGGCCCTGCCAGGCAGTGTTTCTCCGTGGACAGTCTGAACAGTCTGGACCACCGGCTGAGGCAGTGATGTGCTGAGAAGTAGCACAGCGGCCCTTCCTCTTGCTTGGGGCGGGCGGCTGCAGTTCTGTGCTTACAGAAACCCGGCCCCGTGGGC